GGTATGTGATTTTGGCACTCATATGTACCCAGATGATGGCATTATTCCATTTATGTGAGGAAACTTCAGTGAGAATTTATGAAAAACATAGGTTCAAATTTTTTGCTTCTCTGTTATGCTAAGTCATGTGTCATGAAAAATTTTTCTGTTCACAAAATGTGATGGTATAAGCTTTAATTAATATTTACAGAACACTTATAATCTGGTTACTCACCCTATTGGTATTGTTTTTCATATCTGATGGATTTAGGAACTAGATTTTAATATCTGAGGATTTTTGTTTCATAGCTTAGTGGTTAAGAGCTCATGACTCCAAATCCTGGCTGGGCCACTTACTCTCTATATAATCTTGGGCAAATTACTTAACCTCCATTTTGCCAAGGGTTAACAACTCTTAAGAGATGTTATTTGGATTAAGTGAGATAAAGGATGGAAGGTGCATTACACAGACTCTGGCACATAGTAGACTTTTACTTAATGCTAATCATCATTATCATCCTTGTTGGTTTCACTCAACAAGATAGGTCTTCAGATACTTTCAAACTTTAATCTCTAATTTTAACACTACATTTTTGAACTTATAAAAAATTAGTTTCTGTATATCACTTCTTATCCATCTTTGAAATGGAAATGTGATGCCTTTCTTATAAAGGATCTATGTTTGGACTCTCAACCACTGCGCCACCAGGGAAGCCCTATCTTTTTTTTTTTTTGAAGATAATTATGTTGCCATCTTGAACAAGGACAACTGCTTTATTTATTTATTTTGCTGCATCACGCAGCTTGCAGGATCTTAGTTCCCCAACAAGGGATCAAACTGGGGCCCACAGCAGTGAAAGCACTGGGTCTTAACCACTGGACTGCCAGGGAATTTTCCAAGGGAATCTATGTTTTTTGTTTTTTGTTTTTTTTTTTTTTGCGGTACGCGGGCCTCTCACTGTTGTGGCCTCTCCCGTTGCGGAGCACAAGCTCCGGACGCGCAGGCTCAGCGGCCATGGCTCACGGGCCCAGCCGCCCCGCGGCATGTGGGATCCTCCCGGACTGGGGCACGAACCCGTGTCCCCTGCATCGGCAGGCGGACTCTCAACCACTGCGCCACCAGGGAAGCCCGGAATCTATGTTTTTAAAAATGATTTTGTGAGCAGTAATTGATGTTTGCCAGTTTTTTTCAAGATGGACAGGATTAAGTGCTATATAATCATTATTATTGTTATTTATATCAAAGCATAAGGCATTTAAGGAAAAGGACCATAAATTGATCTATCCACACACTAAATGAAATGATCAGTTTTCTTTTGCTCTTCATGCTTTTTAAAAATAGTCAGTCTCTTGGTTTATCTTACATATCTCTTTGTCCAAATAAGCATTTAAGGTCATGATCTAGGAAGAAATCATCTGTGAGATTTGAGACTAAAAATCAAGCCTCAAGTGGAAATGATACAAAAATGGAAAGGAATCATAGTGTATCATCATGGGTAGATATTTTTAGGAAAAGACTCATTGGTAATTTTACTGACTGGCTCAACTTACCAAATTATTCAAGAATCTGGAATAATGGAGGGAAACCAATCAAGCTTGATTGATTAAGGCCAGTTGATCAGCCTTCTCCAATTCTACTTCAAAGCCATTATAATAGAATATTGTTTAAAATTTGATTACCCATAATCTTACCATGCTTTTCAACATTTTAAAATTCAACCAAAATTTGTTGAGTATTACTAGGAGCAAAGCCTCATTCCCGATGCTATGGGGAAACTGTTATCCTCACGGAGCTTGTAGTCTGCTCCCAGGAGGTAACATGGAAAGAAATACCAGCTCTACAGGGCAGAGTGAAAGAAGTGCTATGAAAAATGTAGTTCCAAAGTGTTGGCAACTATGTGGAAGAGCCATTCATTTTAACTGGAAGGATCTGGGAAGGCTTTTAATTAAAAGGTGATATTCAAACCAAGCCTTAAAGGCGGAATAGAATTTGAGGCAAAAGATTGTTCTGTAGGTATTTTAGGCCATGAAAACAATGTCAGTAAAGGTGAAAAGAGGTGAAAGCAAGTATATATATAGGAAGCAGCAAGCAGTGCCCAGTGCCTGAAGCAAGGGACTCATGGATTGATGTGGAGAGTCAAAGACAGAAAAGGCAGTTTGGAAACAAATCTTAAAAGGACTTTGAATCATGTTATGGAGTTGGGTTTCATTCAGTAGACAGTGGGAAGCTAGTGAACATTTTGGGGGAGGGGAAAAATTTTATCTGACCCATGTTCTTGCTGGTATTATTACTTGCAAAGAATTAGGGAGATGAGAGATTCTAGGCAAGGAAAACAGATATAATAACCAAAAATTCCAAGTTATTAGGAATATTATATGCCAGGCATTGATAGACTAATTACTGTATTAACTAATATGATTATTATAATATACTAACATATTAATGATATAGGTACTTTGTAGGATTTACTTAATTTTTACAAGCACCCTGGCATGTGAGAAATACAGTCTTTATTTTAGAGATGAAGACATGGGAGGGTTAGAAAGATTAATTGCTCAAGGTCATATAGGTCATAGGTAGTGGGGCTTGAAATGAGGTGATGGAAAAAAATTTGATTCAGAGCAACTGAGTGTGGGAGGTGAGAGAGACAGAGGGAGAAATTGAAGATGATTCCTACTTGGGTACCTTTAATGAAGGTACGAAGCATAGTCAAATAAGTTTGGGATAAGTAAATAAGGAATTCTGCTTTGAAAGATTGTATTTGAGATGTGGGCAGGACAAGCCAGGTAGAAATGTGGAGCTGGTTACTGGAAATAGAAATGTGAAGGTGAAACAGTCTGGGAGTATTCAGAACATTGGTGAGAGGGACAGCCTTGGGAGAAGGTATAGAACAGGAGAGTCTGAAGAGAGTGACGTCCATCTAAGAATGGAGAGGGGAGCTGGAGAAGGAATTATCAGAAAGGTTTGGAGAAACCAGAATGTGAAAGAGTAGTGAACAAGCAGTCACAGGTGGGGAGAACTTCAGAAATTGTGGGTGGTAAACAGGTCATTTATTGCTCACCAGAGAGAGAAGAGTGTGGGGATTCTTGCTTTATTTGGGAAGTAGAAGTCCATGGGTAGTTTATGAAAAACCAAAACCAAAAACAATTTTAGTGGAGTGGAATGATCAGGAATTGAGTGTTAGGGGCTGAGGAGGGAATGGGTGGTAAAGAAATCTGATGGGCTACAAGGGATTGAGGGACTTTTTTAAAATTAGGATGCGGGGAGCCCTTAAGCTAAGGGAAAAGGACAGTGGAGAGATTTCTAAAAGAGTGGAGGATAATTTATTGGCTTTAATTCCAAAGTGAAATCAAAAGATGACCAGAGGACAGAGACTCTGGCAAAGGAAAAGAATAAGGTTTTTTTCCCCCTATGACAGAAAAGGAATGAGAAGAGAAAAAAATGGGTGGTGATACCAAGAAAAAGTGAGACCTAATGGAGAAAAGCTGAGAAAATTATTTTCTGAAAATCTATTTCTCAGAGAGGTCTTCTTGGCCTTCTACATGTTTTGTATTTCCAAAGAGCCCTGTACTTATCCTTTAAAACATTCATCATACTTACAATTACTTGCTCAGCATCTGGTTCCACCACTAGATTTCAGTCTACTCTTTTAAGAGGTCAGTCGGCATGTCTGTCTTGTTCCCTGCTG